GCATCTTGCAAGGAGACACTGGTCCTTGGAGAGGGACATCATGTTTGGCAGAGTGGAGGGGAAGCGAAGGAGAGGAAGACTTTTGGTGAGATGGATCGATTCTGTGACTGGAGCAGTGGGAATAAGTGCGTTTGAGATGGCTAGGTTGGCACAGGATAGAACAACATTTAGAGCTCTTGTACATAGGGTCACTATGAGTCGCAAGCAACTCGATGGCACATAACAACAACAACAACAACAACAGCTAGTATCCTCTGCTTTCTGTCAAGAACCATTTGACATGAGCAATGATATTCCTCATGCTGTGGCTTCTTCTAAATCCAGCCTGAATTTCTAGCAGTTCTCTGTCCATGTATTAGCCATTTTTTCCCTAGCCATTTTTCTTAGCTGTTTTTTAAGCAAAATTTTACCTGCATGTGTTAGTAATGATATTGTTTGGTAATTGCCACATTCTGTTGGATCACCTTTATGAGGAATGAGAGTGTGGATCTCTTTGAATCAGTTGACAAAGTAACCGTCCCTTAGATTTCCTGCCACAACTTGGTAAGTATGCCCAGGTCTGTGTGTGTTTGTTGAAACACATCAATAGGTATCCCATTGATTCTTGGAGCCTTAATTTTTGCTAATACCTTCAATGCAGCTTGAACTTCTTTTTTCATCACTACTGGTTCTTGATGATACTCTACTTCCTCATATGGTTCCATAGACACCAATTCTTTTTGTTATAGTGATTTAGTATATTAACTCTAAATTAGAATATTAATTTTTAAAGTATTTTGAGGCCTATATCTATGTCAGAGCAACTTTGTATCATGAAATGATTCTCATATAATCAGCAAACACATTCTTAAATAATAAAAAAATAAGAAATGTTAATTATCTTTCTGACTTCACTTTACATGAAAATTTTAGACCAACATTAGCAGAAACTGGGCCATAACCATATTAAGGAATCTTGGGGACTGTTCCATGTTAGACACATGGTATATTCATATATAAGACTTAATTTTCAGTTGAAGGAAGAGACCCTGTACCAGTCACTCTGCCAATAAGTGGCTGCTCACTCCCAAGTGGCCAACTCTTCCACTGTGTCAGTGATAAATAACTCCATTTCCTTAGACACACATCTCTTCTTAAATTTCTACTTTCCTATATTTAGAGGTTATCAGTAAGGTATGTTAATGGAAGCATTTATAAAAACCAAAATATAGCCTTTGCAAAACTTACCCAATGGGGGATTTCCAAGATCTTTAAAATGAGTTGTAACACACACTAATTCAGTTTCTATTTTCAAGTTCAATTCACCATTTAGATTTGCTTCAATAATCTGCAAATGGATTGATTTATACTCTTTAAAAAGATAAGCTTTTACAACTAGGTGAAGATAAAATAGATGAATAGGACTTTCCAAGAATCAAATCACTATGCACATCCAAAACCTTCTCCAACAGAGTAAAAAGGGAAGCCACAGACTGGGAAAAAGTATTTGGTAATGACATGTCAGATAAGGGACTTATATTTAAATTTATAAAATGCTTAAGCACCACAATAAGATAAAGATAAATAATACAAGTGAAAAATGGGTACAGAATATGAACAGACACTTCACCAAAGAAGACATTCAGATGGCCAACAAGCACATGAAGAAATGTTCAAAATCCTTAGCTCTAAGAGAGTTGCAAATCAAAACAACTATGAGATATCATCTCACCCCAGTAAGAA